TTCAAACCATTAATGAAAAATTCTAGAAAGCCTGAAAGAAAAAAAAAGGAAAAAATTAGAAAGTTTCTTCACACGTGAGTTTTCTACTACTTTTAATTTCTAATGGTGAAATTGAAGATGAGCACATAATTTTATTATTTAATAGGTGAAGGAGAAAGGAAATAGTGTACTTTTGTTTTTCCTTTCCATTTATCAAAAACTAGCTTTTTATGCCCTAAATCCTAAATCCCTTGCAATATGTTTTATATGTCGTTTTTTCCTCTAATATCTCCTTGGCTTGTAGCGTCTTAGACCATTATTGACAAATTTCAGATAATTTATTCTAAAATGAATTGCTATCCTACTCTCAAATTTCAATAGTGGAATTCAAGTTTAAAAGATAATACCTTTACCCTTCAACCAATATTTTTTCTTGAGCAAGGATAACAAAGATGTAAATGTCTGACTGTTGGAGCTCCTGTTTTCTTGGCACTTGTTTTTTCTTTTTTTCCTTTTAGATTGATTATTAGTTTGTTTTTCCAGTAATGCAAGTATACATTTGAAGATTTTGTTATGGATCGCTAACACTCCTCCATGGATGAATGGTAGGTTTTATGGAGTTGAAAAGTATGTTGTTATATATTTCCTTTTGATTGATGAAGAAAATAGTTAGCTATTTTTTCTTTAAATTTGAGGGATTTCTGGTGAAGAATTTCATGTTGTGCTTTTAAAGCTATAAATGTTGGCTCTTGTGCAATCTAACAGAACGTTACTCTGTTCTTTGAGTTTGTTCTTGAATCTGCTAAGTATTTAATGCATTTTAGTTGGTTTTACTCCTTAGCTCCTTCGATTGATCAAGATACAATGGTCACCTGCGAAAAGACTATCTAAGTAAGAATTGTCATCTGATTTTAAGTTTTTCCCCCCTCTATTCTACTCTGGACTCTTCAACTGATTTGATTTTTTGTTTTTCTTCTTTTTTGTGGGTTCCTGCTATGCAGGTTTGTGGACAACTCTTGACCCACAAAAGGCTTTGTGAGATGTCTCATTTTTCTTACCGACTCTAAATTATGTATCGTTAACTGGAAATGGATCAAATTGCTATATCATTATTATATTTCTCTTTTATTTTGTAGTTACTATCTAAAAATTTTCTTAATTCATTATTATATTTTGTAGTCACTTTTGTTTTTGAAACTTTTTTTCAATTAGCTTACTTATCTTAGTTGGACTCCTTTTTGCTGAAAATATGAACCTGAGGCGATAGTTATTTTGCTAGTTGCTTTAAGATTTTAATTGGTTTACTCATAAAAGCTACAAATTGAACAGCAACAAATATATCTACACTTTCTTCGTGGGTTGCCTCAATGGACTTGATTATTCACATATACTATGGAAAATTCTATGTAAAAAACTCCATAGTGAAATAAGATTTTTCTTATCTTTCACCTTTTTGTTTGCTTTAACAAAATATGAAGAAAATTCATTATGCAGTTTATTTTCCATGTTCTTTTAACTTCAACATGCTGATATTTTTTCCTGCCTATAAGTTGACATGTAATTGATCTTTTGGAGGAAATCATCTGATGAAAACAGAGAGATGTTATCTTGAGAATTAGCAATCAGCAGTTGCTTTGAGATACGTATGTTTTTTAAACCAATCACAACTACTTCTCCTCTCTTCAGTATTTATGTAATTAGTATTTTTATCTTTTGGGATTTCGGCTACATCTATCCAAATAAAAATGTGAAGTTTCATTAAATCGCCAAATTGAGATATGTAACTACTTCAGGATACATGTCATTTGGGTCAATTTAGGTAGTGATGAACTACCATATATTGATTTTGCTGTCATTTGGGTAGATTTTGGTACGTCACTTACCCTATTACATTGGGATTTGAATATGTTGCCTCCACTAGATCATTATGGCTTTTGATACTTCTTTTACAGCAAAAAGGAAATTGTGTATTCAAAAATAGGAAGGAAGGGAAAAGTTAAGAGAAATTGACTAGGTATTGACTTTATTAGTAGAAAAATTTGAGTTTTAGTTAAGGTGATTCTCAATATGTTTTTCCCAATAACTACAAATTTTTTTGTACCGGCAATGTTCTAACCCAATTGTAGATGTTTCCAACTCAATTTCAAGCCATCTAATTAAACATCAGTATAGCCTAATTACTATGAGAGAAGGCTACAAGACATGGATCATTAAATTTGATTGACAATGGTTTGGAGAAGGATGGCAACAATTCCGTCGCATCAACATCCTCAACGAAAATGGTGCTTTCTTGCTTCGTCATTTTGGAAGTTTGATTTTTGACATGATCCACTTTTCAACAGGACAAGAAACAAGGATACATGCCATGGACATATCCACTACCTAATGTTTTACATCCAAAACCATCTTTTGATTTAGAAAGTTAGCCTTACTATTTTCGTTTTATTTAATTCATTTCTTTTTCTTAAAAACCTTCTTTACCTTAGACATATACAATCTACTTTCCAGTGAATAGGAAATCAAGAATAATACAGCAACGAGTATCATCATCAATGAAACTAGATTTTGTACAAAGCTTAGCTGGAGGTGTGTGCTTCTAAGAAACAACTGCTATAGCTTTGAACGTTTTGTATGTATTTTTTTCACTTTTGACCATTCATTTTCCGCAACAATCTTGACTTTACCTGATGTAACATTAGGAAGTTCCAAGGTTTGTCACTCATTTCTTGCATGGTGACAAGACACGGTCGATTGCTTTGAGAACTGGAAACAGAACAATAACAGTTACAATGCATGGAAGGCAGTTTGCAGATAATTGGAATGTTTGTAGCTAAACCCCAATTGTAGTTTGAAGAAATATTGGTCTTTGTTCCTGAATCAAGCTCCACCTACATTGTCCTAATATTTGATAACTATGGTGTAGGAAAGCCATTCTCATGGTATAATAGTTTTTATATGTACTCTATCATGGAAAATGACTGGACCTAGATGTATCTGAGAAAGGATCTTCATTGGACTATGTTTCTTTCTTCAATGTTTAATATGAAAACTGTTTTTGTTGCTGTGTTGTCTCATTCTCCATAGGTACTTTTTCTTTACAATGTTAAACTAAGAAAATGAAATGCTTCCTTAATCAAAGATCACCTATAGTGCACAGACACTTATAAATGGAATACACAGTAAAGAAATAGCTTATTCTTCTATTCCAATGTCTTTGTAGCAACTACTAAAGAACAATCAAAGTAAACATGACACATTAGAAAATAAGAGTATATTCTTAGTATATTTCACTTTGAGGACTTTATGCCTACATTTCCTTTATATTTGGTAAGACCTACTAAAAAACTTCTAAACAAACTAAATACTGTTTCTATACAAGAAATTTATTCTCAGGCAAATGTTGAAACACTTATTCAATAAAAAAAATTTTTGCAGTATAATTCACTATCTTTAAATCTGGGCATATCTATAATTTACCATCATGCCCGAGCACAGTGATCCTCTCCTAGTCATTGATATGACCCAAGCAAAAGTATGGAGAATTGCAAGGGACATGCGGCTTCTGGAAAAGAACAAAAGTAAGTTGTCCTCTTTTTCCAAGGAAAAGATACAATGCAAATTGTTTCTTGCTTCCAAGTAATAAGAGCCAATAACCAGTCTAACTTGTTCCTAACTAATCTCCTAATTTATAGCTATTGAGATAAAATATACTTCCTAATTGGAAAAGAAAATCTTTAAGAGATAATGTCTATTATTTCTTAATTGAATACTCTATTTAATAAGGGAAGAAATCCATCCAATCTTTAGCAAAGAGTCCGTTCGGAATTCGATTTGAATTAGGAAACTTCTATGCGCAAGAAGATCCAGAGCATTCCAATTGAATTAGCAAACTTCTATGTGCAAGAAGATCCCGAGCTTTCCAGACTTGACAGCAAGAATTAGACGCACCCTCACCAAACTGTGCACAGGTTTTCTGAAAAATCTCCCTTTAACCTCTTTTTGCTCCACAACCCCTACAATTAACATGCTTTACCAAATATGATAGAATCTATCTATTAATACAATATTTGGTCAAAAATTGAGGGGAAAATATCCACAAATTTATTAACAAAATGCATCCTATCAATAATTGTGAAATCCAACCCCTATGAATTTGGGATTCAATTCTAATTACGTGATAAACATAGTAGCCAAACAGCTATACTGGAATTGGGGCTCCAATTTATATTTTGTAACTCCAATTTCATAGAACCAAGCACACTCAAAAAATAAACTACAATAAAATAGAAACTTACTCGTAGAATTGAAAAAATCAATAAAAGATATCTAGATATGAAAAAAACCAATAAAAGATTTCTAGATAACATATTCTTTTAAAAAAAGATTTGATATTTTTTTATTATTTGTATAGCTTAATAGTTTCAAACAATATAAAAATACCTTAGTTGTCAATTATCCGGATGCTTTCTTCAAGTTTTCCATTGTCTCTCGGATGCTTTCTTCAAGTTTTCCATTGTCTTCGAGAGACAATGAGAACCGCTACATTTGAAGTTGCTGATGTACTCTTCCAAGTTGGGGTTTAGGCCGCTTCTATGCTAACTTTTACATCTGAAGTTGAATTGCCTAGAGCTGCTACAGGTGAAGTTAGACGTGACAGATCATGGTTGCTTGCTTTCCGCAAATGCAATAGTTAATTTTGTGATTTTTTTCTTTTCTTGTTCTTTTAAAATATTCATGTACTTTGGAGGTCAGGTTAATGCCCTCTCCTTTTGTAACTTTTGTTATATTTAATAAAATTTTAGTTAGCATCCCACCCCATGTACGAGGTTTGCTAACCAAAAAAAAAAAAAGGGAATTTCGCCAATTTGGTCCCTAAACATTTTCACTTAAATCAATTTCGTCCTTCATTAAATATTTTAATCAATTTAGTCCCTGAACTAGTTTTTTACTTTCAATGTAGGACTTTTTACTACATTTTACTCAATTCGCGTGGACCAAAGGGGTATAATTGTCACACTGGCTTAATCTGCTGCAATTATCCACTGAAACGGATTAGATGTCATTATCCCGCCCATGCGATTATCTAAATGCCCAACTTGAGCAAGCATGTCTATAACACAACCATAATGCTGCATTTTAGGTCTGATCTTATACTTATTCTTCATAGTTCTGAAGCAAGCCAAGCCTTCACTCACCATATGCCCATTCCTATAAGTCGATAAAAGTGCAGTCAATGTCCTCTCATCTGGCTTTATCTCAAGACCCTTCATCTTATCAAACAAGTCCATAGCCTCTTTACATTGCCCATGAATGGCAAGGCCAGCAATCATTGCAGTCCATGTAACAACATCTTTGCTCACTATTTCAGAAAATACCTCCTTTGCACCATCTATGCACCCACATTTCGCATATATGTCTATGAGAGCCGTGCTAACTTTACCATTCAAACTAATAAGCTTCTTCTCCTTAACCAAATCATGAACTTTTCTACCCATACTAAGAGCACCAGTATCAGCACAAGCTCTAAGAACCGAAACAACCGTTGCTTCATTAAATTCAACGTCATTTTCCAACATGTGCTCAAACAAAGCTATAGCTTTAACGGGTTTATCATTATCCACAAGCCCATCGATTATAGAAGTCCAAGACACCACATCTCTCTCGAGCATTTTATCAAACATCGTGAACGCAAGGTCCGAAACACCACCAGCGGTCCGGAACACCACCAGCTGAATACATATGAATCAATGCATTGCTTATATGCATATCCGGCCCAAAACCCAACTTCCAGACTAGTCCGTGGAGTTGTTCTCCAAGAGGGATTTGACATAATTTGGAGCAAGCTTTGAGGACAAAGGGAAAAGTGAACTTCCAACGATAATCGCATGGGCGGGATAATGATATCTAATCCATTTTGGTGGATAATTGCAGCAGATTAAGCTAGTATGACAATTATACCCCTTTGGTCCACGCGAATTGAGTAAAATGTAGTAAAAAGTCCTACATTGAAAGTAAAAAACTAGCTCAGGGACTAAATTGGTTAAAATATTTAATAAAGGACGAAATTGATTTAAGTGAAAATGTTTAGGGACCAAATTGGCGAAATTCCCAAAAAAACATAGTTGATAATGCCTTAATGGCATATATTTATATTAGTAGAAAATTTATTGAGTATATTCTTATCCTTATACTTACTCTAAAACAAGAATAGCTAAGGAGAAACATGAATCAAGAAAGTGATAAAAATTCTTTTTTCATGCTAGTTGAGTTCAATGCTATTGGTGTCGGGTTTTAAATTCCACTATATTATTAGCTGGTCGAGTTTATTGAGTTGGACAAGAAATATTGGATGAATTTATTTAATGCTATTGGGGTTCGATTTGACAATAGTTTTGTATAGTTCAATGAGTTTATTGAGTTAGATATAAAATGTTGGATGATTTTATAGATCTAAAGATTTTTTTCTCTTTATAAGAATCTCACAAACTCTAGATAAGTGACATCTTATAATTTACTAAAAGTAAATGAAAGATTTTTGTGGACTTACTATCTTACTTGATTTTGACATCAAAACTGCATAGATTTTATTTTAAAATAAATTTCAATAGACTTTAATTCTTTACATGTACAAATACACCTTAAAGATAAAGAGTAAAACTTCACGAGTCACATAACAAACTATAGTAAAGATAAATGCCAATGTTTCTTATGACATTAAGAAAAAAATAATGAAAATTCAATTAATTAAATATGTATTAAATAATATATTGTGATAAAGTAGAATAAAATAAGGGTGGAGGATTGGGTTGGATGGTAAGATGGAAGGCGTTGTAGGTAAGAGGTCTTTGATTCAAATCCTCCCACTCACCAAAAGAAAAAAAAGTAGAATAAAATAATTCACAAAGTTGAAGATTTGAGATGGATTATATTTAATTTCCTATTAACTTGTGAGAGGTTGGTTTTTTTCCGTGTATATTGGGTATTCAAAATTACTGTCCCTTGCATGGTAACATTTAAAGTAATTTCTGTTATGGAAATTCAATTCAAAACAAAACAAGTCTTAATCTGCATGGTAAGTCTTCTATTTTTGTTCAGAAGTTCCTAAATCATGTAATATGCATGCATTATCACTACGAGAAAACCATCACACGGCTCCACTTGTTCTAATTGTACTTCACAAATAACTAATAAATTCAAGGAAATAAAAAAGTAGTGCACCATGCAGTTAAAAATCACTAATTAACAAGTGAACCATGTTATATTACAAAAATGTGAGTTATGATAGCTTAGTTGTAATTTTAGTTTGCACTCCTAAACTCAGTATCTTTTCCCCTTTGCACCCTAGATACCAAATTCGAACATTTTGACTCATTTAACAGCCACGTTGAGAAAATTGACAATTTTTATACGTATGAAACAAAATATCAGTTAATAAGTCAAAATTGACTTTGCACCCTGATGCGACAGCCAAAAACCAGATCCGAGCTGAACTGTTGCGAGCCGAGCTGGTCAGGCGCAGCCGAGCTGGTCAGGCGCAGCCGACCTGAGAGGGTGAACCGAGTTGAGAGTCCTGTAAAGAAAGGAAGATGGTTGGACTGGCGTCCCCGGAATAACTCCGACGGTCAAGTCAGTAAAGCTTGTCCACAGAGTAATAGTTTAGAGTACTGGTCGACACGTACCTTGTGTGGTCTTATGGCGTTGCTTATATAGGGCCGAATGGGTTGTAGTTTCCTTGTGGGAGTCAAAGTCCTCTTAGGGTTCGGAGTCGTTTTAGGGCTTCGCATGACGGCTCCTGAAAGTTCAGAGGCGGCGGCCCACAAGGCCCAACACAGGGGCCATTGACACAGCCGAGCTGGCTCCCTCCGGCCGAGCTGGCATGTGCGAGAGGCGTAGTCCCTAACGCCGAACTGATGTGTGTAATATACCGAGCTGACACATGTCACGTGTGGATTTGCCCTACTACACTAGCTCCCCTTGAGTCTAGAGTCACCGAGGAGTCGCATGAGTCTAGACCAAATTACGAAGCGTCAGGTCGACCTAGTGCGGGGCCCATGATCCCACGATCGCGCACCTTGTTCGAATAACCGCCACGTATACCGTCACAACCGTCACCTCAAAGGTCACGTCCTCCCATGATGGCGGTTGTCAGCTCAAACATTTTCCAAGGTAACCGTCCCTTTGCAATAAATTCGAATTTTCAACTCGGGGCTCTTCAACTTCCCGCCCAGGAGGCCTATAAATAGGTCCTACCAAATGTCACTTTCAAGCTTCCATTCTCATTCTCTCCTTTCCCCAATCTTCTTCAGCTCGCTCCTCGCCTAGTGAGTCCACCTGAGAGTTGCGTTAATCATCTACCAGCTCTTCCCTATCATCCGCTAGTAAGTCTTCTTTCCCTTTTATGTCTTCCTCTTCCACACACTCAGACCTTACTAGCTCGGCACCTAGGCGTAGAGTAACCCGACTTGCACTCATAGAGATACTCTCTTCTAGCTCTTCTTCTTCCAGTTCGTCCGGGTCTGAGTACCTTCCTTCTCCAGTCCCTTCTCCAGTTTTAACCATGGACCAGCCCGGTCAATCTGCCCAGCCTGAGGTTGGAGCTGCTGGCCCAAAGATCCCTCTAGAGGCAATTCCAGCTCGCGCTAGGGCTGGACCCCCTAGGGGGCCCGATATCGACTTTGGGGAAGTCGAAATAATTCCCCCCATCCTTGACCAGGGGGATGTGGACGAGTTGGTGGGAAGGTACTATATTCCTCCCCAGTTCGAGGCTAGGGCAGCCCAGCCGGGGGAGTTCGCGTGCCGACCTCCTTCCGAGTTCTTAGCTATCTACACGGATCAGCTCGTGGCTGGTCTCCGCCTTCCCATCCCCCAATTTCTTTATGACATTCTGACCTTCTGGGGTATCCGAATTACCCAACTCGTTCCCAATGCCATTCGGTCGATCCTCGGCTTCTTCATTTTGTGCCGAGCTCTCGAAATTCCTTATTCTTTGGACCTGTTTAGGTCATTTTTTCAAATGAAAGTGAGCGGCCCGGTTCACGGCTGGTTCTACTTCGCTCGCAGGAGCGGAGGGGAGCTCCCCACCCGCGAGCTATTCACGCAAATGCCTTCCTCCATCAAAGGCTGGAAGGCACAATTCTTTTTTGTGAAGAACATTGGGTTTCCTCCCCTGACCTGGAGGGAGGAGACCCAGGTTTCTGATCCAATTCTCTCACCTTTGCCTGAAGCCGAGCTGGACCGCCTGGTCAGCTCGGAAGCCCGGCTGAAGGTAAAAGAGTTTAACAATGCACAGCTCTGGTCGGCAGGGCTGATTCGAGCAGAGGTGAATGACCCTGCCCCCGATCTCCGACCTCTTCTCCCAGAGAAGCTGACAGCTTGTAACTTCTGGGCCTCATTTCTTCCTTCTTTTTAATGAGTTTGGTCACATTGCCCTAGCTGACCCACTCTTTTTCCTCTGCAGTGAAGAGATTCTCCTAGCTTTTGAACATTGGAGGATCCGGTAGTACTAGCACGCCTACTCCCGCTCTATCCACGGCCCCCAGCAGCGCGGCTCCTCCTCCTCCGCCAGCGCCCAATCCACAGATCGCAGCTCAGTCGTCGCCTGGAGAGGAGCCAAAGAAGAAAAGGAAGAAGACGGCGGCCAAAAGGGTTAGGACCGAGGCGACTTCCCCTCAATCCCAGGAGGAACCCTTAATAGCTCTTGCATTCCACTACGGAGTGAACTCCGCCGAGCAGCAGGTCTCGTCCGAGTCGCCTTCAGCCATGTGGCGTATGAGGAACGTGATTCCTCTGAAGCCTCCTACCGACCAGAGCTCGCACCCGCACCCCCAACATTTCTGCCCAAAGTGGGGGCTGTCGGTGAATAACCGAGCTCAATTTCCTGAAGCTGCCCGGGAGCTCGTCCAGGGCGCAGTGCTCCCACGCGATCATCACTTCATCCAACTCGCCTCCAACTCCGAGCTGCTGGAGCATTTTTACCTCAGCACAGCCCAGGTGATTCCTTAACTTAGTGCCTCCCTGACATCCCCTTTAATTTGCTGATTTCTTATCCTGTATTCGATCTACAGCTCAATGTCGCTGGGGCCGAGCTGGCGCAGCGGTACAAAAACATGGGGGTCAACCTATCTCAGGTCGACGCCGCCAAGGAAAGGCTATCAAGCCAGCTCGAAGCCGCGGAGGCCGAGTTAGAGTCCCTGAAGAAACAATTTGCGGATGCCCAATCCTCCTGCGAGTTGGAAAAGAAGAAGGCAGCCGAGCTGGCCGTGACTCTGGAGGCCGAGCAGAAAAGATCTACCGAGCTGATAGAAACGGCGAGGGCGGAAAGGCGTCAGCTAGGCGTTCAAGAGTTTAAGAAGTCCGAAGGTTTCATGAACGACCTGGCCATCCTGAATGGCCCCGTCCTGCAGCTCGGTTACACCAAAGCCATGGCGGATGTTCAGTCCTTGAACTTGCCGGGTTTTGACCTGAGCAAATGGCCTGATTACAACCCCCAAACCGTCCATCAAATTGACAGACTTATCGCGGGCTACACCAATGGGCGCGACCTGGCTGCCTTGGTCGCCGACCCTACTCTTCCCGCAACCTCTCCCGAGCCAGAGCAAGAACAGCAAGGGGAGAGTTAGACGGATAGTACATAGGATAGGCCTATAGGAATTAGGCTAGGGTAGGGACCGAGTTGGTCAACTCGCTTTTGTATGGCCCTCCGCATATATGCCTTTTTTGAAATGGAATAGATGGCCTTCTTTCTTATCCAACACTTGTAAAAATTTTCTATTATTTAAAAGTTTTGAATACATTATAAGCCCAAGTGCTGAACTAATAAAATGAAAAACAGACCTGTCCAGCTGACCATTTTCAGGTCGGGCAGGATACTAAAGAAAAAGTCTTAAATTTGAGTTGTGCCAGGTGCGCGGGACTTCGCCTCCATCCAGGCGAGTTAGTTTACAATAACCTGCCCGGTCAGCTTCCCTTACCACGTAGGGACCTTCCCAATTTGGGTCTAACTTACTCGCGCCCACAGCTCGGCTCACAGAGTTCTTGCGTAATATCAGGTCCCCTGGCTTGAAAGAAAGGTGTCTTACCCTGGCATTGTAGTAGCGTGCGACCTGTCCCTTATACTTAGCCATTCTTATAGCCGCCTCTTCCCTTCGATGCTCGAGCAGGTCCAAACTAAGCCGTATCTCCTCCTCATTATTCTGAGCCACAAAGTGTTGCACCCTACCCGAGGGTACTCCAATTTCTGCTGAGATTACTGCTTCGACCCCATATGTCAGGACGAACGGGGTCTCTTGGGTGGCCGTCCGAGGCGTTGTCCGGTAAGCCCATAGTATAGTAGGCAACTCCTCCAGCCAATTAGTTCGGGCAGACTCTATTCTTGTCTTCAGGCCGTGCAGGATGGTTCTGTTAACATTCTCGACCTGCCCATTGGTTTGGGGGTGCCCCACTGAAGTGAAGTGCTGCTGGATGCCGAGCTCCGTGCACCATTCCTGGAGAGAGTGGTCAGCGAACTGCCTGCCGTTGTCCGAGACGAGAGCCTTTGGTATGCCAAATCGGTAGACTATGCTTTTCCAAAGGAATTTCTGGATCGACCTGCTACTAATTGTGTTGAGGGGCTCGGCCTCTACCCATTTAGTGAAGTAATCAATGGCTACCACCAAATGTTCGTAGCCACCTGGAGCTCGGGGAAATGGCCCCAACAGGTCAATCCCCCATTGAAAGAATGATCACGGGCTAATGAGAGGAATCATTTCCTGAGTGGGGGTGTGATGGATTGGGGCGTGTAGCTGGCAAGACTTACACCGAGCTATCAGTTCGGCCGAGTCCCTGAAGATGGTGGGCCAATAGTATCCAGCCAGCATTTCCTTCTTGGCCAATACTCTTGGACCAACGTGATTGCCGCAGATGCTTTCATGCAACTCGCGCAAGACATAGCTCCCTTCCTCGGGCGTTACACACTTCAACCAGGGCTGCATGTAGGATTTCCTGTATAGGACTTCATGCGTGAGCACGTACTTTTGCGACTTAAGGAGGACTTTGCGGGCCTCTACCCTGCTCGGTGGGAGCTCCCCTTGAGCCAGGTACTGGACAATGGGATCCATCCACGAGCTCACCACCTGAATAACCGCAGTGTTGAACGGTTCATGGGCCCGACTTCTGACGACCTCCACCAGTATTTCCCGACTTAAGATGCCAACCGAGGTAGAGGCCAGTTTAGACAGGGCGTCAACTCTCTTGTTCTGGCTTCGCGGAATCTGCTCAAGCGCGAACTGCTCGAACAGGCCCTTCAGCTCGCGTGTCTTGACCACGTACCTTCTTAGCGTCCCCTCTTTGACCTCGTAGCTTCCCCATACCTGGTTTACTATCAGCTGCGAGTCGTTATAGACTTTTATCGATCTAGCCCCTAACTTTCGGGCCATCTCCATTCTTGCAATCAGAGTCTCGTACTCTGATTCATTGTTAGAAGCTCTAAAATCGAACCTCAGAGCCTAGGGCAGCTCCTCCCCCAGTAGGGCTGATTAGGAGGAGCCCGGCCCCATATCATTCCTTACTTGACGCGCCGTCCACGTACAACGTTCAGGTGGGATCAGCTCGTCCCGCAGCCTCAGTAACCTTCCCGGCCTGAGCCGTCTCTCTGGCCAGTTCAGCTTTGACTGCATTTCCAGAATGCTCGGCCTTGGCAGCGTTTAATGCCTGTCCCACCTCCGCTGCCTCTCCGGTCTGTCCCACCTCGGTAGTTTCCTGGGTTTGTTTGGTCTTAGCTGCTTCTCCAGCCTGTCCGCCCTCGGCAGCTTCTTTGGCCTGCTCGACCTCAGCTGCCTCTTTGGACGGTCCGACCTCCGCTACTTGGATGGCCTGGGTGACCTCGGCAGCGTCTCCAGCTTGAAAGACCTCTGCTGCTTCTCGGGGCTGGGTGGCCTTGGTAGTTTTTGGGGTCTATAAGGTTTTGGCTACTTGTCCGGTGTGCGCATCTTCCGGTGTGCGCATCTTTAACAATTTCTCCATCCTTCCTGGCCTGTATATCCCTGGCCTGATCGACCTCCGCTTCGGGCGATCCAAAGGAAACGTCATCCGCTATGAAATCCGCCAATGTTTGGGCTTTGATGGCCTTCCGGGGCTGATATCCCAGGTCGTATTCTGACAATTCTACAGCCCACTTCACCATTCGACCCGAGGACTCGGGTTTGGAAAGGATCTGCTTCAGGGGCTGGTCCGTCATGACCACTACGGGGTGAGTTTGGAAGTACGTCCTGAGCTTCCGAGCTGCATGTACTAATGCCAAAACATATCGTTCTACCGCCGAGTACCTTGCCTCGGCCCCCTGCAGGGCGTGGCTGACATAATACACGGGTTTCTGCACTTTGTTTTCCTCTCGCACTAGCACTGCGCTAATGGCCCCCTCTCCCGCAGTTAAATAGATGAACAGGGTCTCCCCGAACTCGGGAGAGGTCAGGGCTGGCAACCGAGCGAGGTGGGCCTTCAGTTCATCGAACGTCTTCTGGCACTCCGGGCTCCACTCGAACTGCCGACCTCCTTTCAGGGCCTTGAAGAAAGGTGACCACCGAACTGCCGATTTGGACAGGAACCTGTTCAAGACTGCCATCCTCCCTGTTAGACGTTGCACCTCCTTAATATTCCGGGGTAGAGCCATGTCCATGATAGCCTTGATCTTGTCTGGGTTAGCTCTCACCTCTTCTTTAGAAATCATGTAGCCCAGGAATTTTTCCGACCTGACCCCAAAGGTACACTTCTTTGGGTTTAGCCGCATTCGTGAGCTCCGAAGAACCTCAAAAATTTCTCTCAGGTCAGAGATGAACTTCTCTTGAGTTCGACTTTTCACTAACATATCGTCCACATAGACCTCCAGGTTTCGGCCGATCTGATTCTTGAACAACTTGTTTACCAACCTCTGATAGGTCGCGCCTGCATTCTTTAGTCCGAATGGCATAGTGACGTAACAATATGTGCCGTCCTCGGTGATAAACGAGGTCTTCTCCTGATTCTCCTCGTCCAAGGCTATCTGATGGTACCCCTTGAAGGCATCCAAGAAACAGAAAATCTCATAACCAGCTGTTGAGTCCACGAGCTGGTCAATCCGTGGGAGTGGGTAACAGTCCTTCGGGCAAGTCTTATTTAAGTCAGTGAAATCCACACACATCCTCCAAGCTTTCTCCTTCTTCTTGACCAGCACCGGATTGGCTAGCCAGGTCGGGTAGTAGATTTCTTTAACGATCTTAGCCTCCAGCAACTTACCCACCTCGCTTTTGACGACCTCCTTTCGCTCAGGAGCAAAGTTCCTCTTCTTCTGCTTCACAGGTCGGACGTTGGGGTCCACATATAGCCTATGGACTGCCAGCTCGGTGGGGATTTCTGGCATGTCATCAGCACTCCAAGCAAAAATCTCAGCATATTCCTCCAAGAGAGATTCTAAAGAACTCCTGACCAGCTCGCCTAGGCCGATGCCGACCTTCACTGTGTGCTCAGGTCGGTCGGGCTGGACGGGCAACTCGGCTAACCCCTCGTCCGTCTCCAATCTTTCCCCTTTCTCCATGGGCTCCCAGGGCTCTAAACAAACTGTCTGAGCTACCAATTTCTCTTTACCCTTGAGGGTGGCAATATAACACGCCCTCGCCACCTCCGGATCTCCCAGCACCTCAGCCACCCCAGCAGGAGTAGGAAACTTCATACTGAGGTGCAAGGTGGAGCAAATAGCTCGGAGGGCATTCAGTGTGGGCCGTCCCAGAATCATATTGTACGACGACGGCTCCTTAACCACCGCGAAGTTTACTGGGACCGTTCGGCACTTCGGGGACACCCCCACCGTAACCATGAGAGTGATCATTCCTTCCGGCCTCACGGGAGGACCTGCAAAACCGATCAACGGAGTTCGAACCGGTACGAGCTGTCTATCCTCCAGTTGTAGCTCCTTAAAGGTCTTGTAATACAGCACGTCTATGGCACTTCCGTTGTCTATGTATACCTTCTTCACCTTGTAATTACAGGTGATGACTTCTATCACAATGGCTTCATGGTTATTAGAGGCCAGAGGGACTGCGTCTTCAGGTCCATAGATTATTTCCTCATACATCTTCAATCGTTTGGCCGAGCTCTCCCCCGTGGGATGGGGGCGATTGTGCCGTCGAACTGTATGACTATCCCCGCCAATAGGTCCTCCGACAATAGTGTTAATCACCCCCGCCAGATTCTGTGTTTCCTGCTCGGGAGTTCGGCCACAAGGCCCCTAAGGTCGGTCCCGGAGGTAGCTCGGACGTTCCGACCTGGGCCTTCCTCGTTGCTGGTCAGCTCGTTCCTCTCGTATGAACTGCCCAAGATGGCCTCGTTTAATCAGTTTTTCAATGTCTTTCTTGAGGTGACGGCAGTCCTCTGTATCGTGCCCCACATCTCGATGATAAGCGCAATACAGACCTTGGTCCCGTCTGCTTTTGTCTCCGGCCAAAGATCGAGGAGGTCGGGAGAGCCCTTCCTGTTCCATCACTGCGAGCACCCGAGCTCGAGGTGCCGTGAGGCTAGCCCAAGACTTGTCTCCTCCCATTGGGCGGCTCCTGGGGAGGCGGTCATAAGCGTTTTTCCTTCCCTGGCCAGGCCGTATATCCACCTGGTCGGCGCCCCTCCTGCGCTTGTCATCCCTCAATCTTTCTTGTGCACTCTTAAGGCGATTGGCTTCCTTCGCGTTGGCCTTCTCATGAGCTCGGTCTAGCATCTCCCGAACTGACTTGGGAGGTCTCTCCACGAGCTCGGTATAGAGTTTCTGTTTTCGCAGCCCGTTAATAAAGGCAGCCATGACCACCTTGTCATCGCGATCTCGAACTTGAAGGGACTCGTTATTGAAACGTACCATGTATTCGCACAAGGACTCCTCAGGCCTTTGCTGGATAGTCATCAAATACGCCGTGCTCTTGGAGAAGGCTCGTGACGAAACGAACTGGGCCGCGAACAGTCGCGCGAGCTGGGCAAAGGACAGGATGGACCTGGGAGGAAGCCCCTGGAACCACTGACGCGCCTTACCCTCCAAAAACATTGGAATGGTCTTGCACCTGACCGCATCCGCAGCAGTTTGCAGGCGCATTTGGGTCATAAAGGCAAACAAGTGATCCTTCGGATCCGTAGTCACATCGTAAGACTTCATGTTTGGTATCTTGAACTTCGCTGGCAGCGGGTAATCCTTGATGTCAGGGACGAAGAGGGAGGCGATATACCTATCCGCCTCTGGATCTAAGAGTAGATCCAGCTTGTCCTGCACCTGGAGCTATTCCTTCCGTGGTGAGAGTTCCTCCTTAAAACACCTCCGGAAGGGCTCCGGGTGCTCGGTTCTGGAGTGCTTGTGAGAAGGTTCTACAACGTCAACCTGGTCGCGCGTGAGCTCCCGGCGTACTCTTTTTGGCCGAGGGCTAGGGCTCCCCGTCCTAGATTCGGACGGCCCATCTCCCTGGCTCTTTAGCCCCTGGCCGGGATTACCTACTGCCTGCCCCTTTAGGTAATTCACAATTGCCTCAAAAGTTGACAGGTTCCCTGCCACCGCCTGGACCAACTGCTCCGGCGGAATTCGTGAGAGCCCCACGCCCTCGTCTCCAGGAGTCGGCCCTCGTGAGAGGTGTTGGGGGCTGCTTCCCTCGTTCCCCTTGGATCCATCGGCATTCCTTTGGGACCTCGTTCTTGGCATGATTCGCAAGAGAAGAATTACGTTTTCCCACAAACGGCCCCAATTGATGCGACAGCCAAAAACCAGATCCGAGCTGAACTGTTGCGAGCCAAGCTGGTTAGGCGCAGCCGACCTGAGAGGGTAAACCGAACTGAGGATCCTGTAAAGAAAGAAAGATGGCGGGATTGGCGTCCCCGGAATAACTCCGACGGTCAAGTCAGTAAAGTTTGTCCACAGAGTAATAGTTTAGAATACTGGTCTACACGTACCTTGTGTGGTCTTATGGCGTTGCTTATATAGGGCCGAATGGGTTGTAGTTTTTTTGTGGGAGTCAAAGTCCCCTTAGGATTCGGAGTATTTTTAGGGCTTCGCATGACAGCTCCTGAAAGTTCGGAGGCGGCGGCCTACAAGGCCCAACACAGGGGCCATTGACACAGCCGAGCTGGCTCCCTCCGGCCAAGCTGGCATGTGCGAGAGGCGTAGTCCCTAACGCCGAACTGACGTGTGTAATATACCGAGCTGACACGTGTCACGCGTGGATTTGCCCTACTACACACCCCTAACTTATTTCCTTTTTTTCCCTATGCATCCCCTAACTTTATTAATTTTTAAACATACAACAAATAAGCATGGATTTTTTAGTCAATATTTTAAAATTCGGAAATGGCAATAACTTGGTCAAGCTTTGGGGTTATGGGTTTAATTGGTTGAACCAGTGGTTAAAATTGAATGACATCGCATATATATATATATATATATACACAT